TTTTTTTTTTTTTTTTTTTTTTTTTTTTTTTTTTTTTTTTTTTTTTTTTTACACGGCTACTTAGTTTTTGAGAAAGGAAAAAAAAAATAGATTTGGAAAAATTGTCACGGGGATTGATGTCACGGCTAACAAATATTGTTATCTTTTGATTTTTTTTTCCGAGCTTTTCCTCAAAAATTTTAAAACGCATTGGATAGAGAGAAATTTCTAAAAAATGTTTCATTCTTCTTTCCAATCAACGTGGGATCTCACATTAACCATGAATTAGTCGATAAGAATTCTAATCGAACCTCGATTTTCAATATGAATTTACTTATTTTTTAGATTTAGTTTTGTTTTTCAAGGTTCATTGAAGTTAAGATCTTACAATTGACGAGAAGAAAATAATTCGTATAGTTACCTGGTTATTTTAATATTACAATGTAGTATTCTACATATTTAATGAGCGGGTTAAACTGGTAAGGAAATTTTGTTGGGTTAGAGCTAGGGACGAAGATGGCGAATATAATCTCTATCTCTAACCACATTTAGCAAACGGGTAAAAATATCTCTCCACTTCCTCTTCTTGTTCTTCATTCTAACGAAAATTCTTCACTTCATTCACGGAAGATCTCTTCAATGTCCTGTCCCTGCAGTTAAATAGATCTATTTTAAAGATGGTTGAATACAAATTAAAAAAATATGTAAGTTTTGTAACGATGATGGCTATGGATTTGAAATTGTGAGAGTGAGAACCCTGAACCCCAGGCATCGGACGTGTATCAACAAGGACGCTGAGTCCCAATGGGGTGGACACGGAGTGGTGTGCCAGCGAGGAAGCTGGGACTTGAAGGGGGTGAATTGTGAGATCTCACATCAATTAGAGAGGAACAAGTTTCAGCGAAAACACTGAACTACTTTGAAGGTGGGTGGATTGTGAGATCTCACATTGACTAGAGAGGATAACGAGTGCGAACGAAGACGTTAGAGAAGTGGATTGTGAATTCCTATATCAGCTAAGAAAGAGAATGAAACCAAATTTGTAAGGGTAACTTGGTAAATAATGAGAATTTGGAGCGCAATTATAGAGGTAAAAAGAGAAATGAAAGGGAATCCAAATAATAAGGGAGTAAGCTTATTTGTAAATGTATTATATATTATGACAAGTAGTGCCCACATGGCAAACAAACCCAGCTGCTGAGCTGTCCTCTACTCTCCTATATTCATATGCACCATTATACCCCACCACAATTAAAAATTTATAAATAAATAAAATATTCCACATCATAATTACAAAAATTATATTTAAAATTAAAAAAATAAACATAAAAGACCAACACAACAACAACACACAACACTCACTGTCCCTCTCCCTAAACAACAAACAAATCCCTCCACTCCACATCTTCAAAATGACCACAACCTCCCACCATTCCGCCACCGTTTCCTCCGCCGTAACCTGCCGGAAAAGGCGAAGGACCTTAACCGAAGAATCAACCCCCAAATTCAGAGGAGTTCGCCTGAGAGCATGGGGGAAATGGGTGTCGGAAATAAGAGAGCCAAGGAAGAAATCAAGAATATGGCTCGGAACATACCCCACGGCGGAGATGGCAGCGCGTGCACACGACGTGGCTGCACTCGCCATCAAAGGCCACCGCGCCTTCCTCAATTTCCCTCAAATCAAACACCAACTCCCCCGCCCAGCCTCCCTTTCCGCCAAGGACATTCAGGCCGCTGCCGCACAGGCCGCCGCCCTCAAACACCAGCCGAACCCCACCGAATCAAGTCCTTCGGAAACGACGTCGTGTGAGGAAGAAGAGACATGGTTTGATCTGCCGGATCTTGTTGTACGAGGAATAAACGATGGGTTCTTGTTGGATTTTGATTATTCGTCATCGTCTTCTTCGTCGTCGTCATGGCACTTTTCTGGAGATCACGACGACCTCCAATGGCACTCCGATTATGCTCATACCATTTTTCCCGCTTGAGTTTTTTTTTTTTTCCCTCTCTCTTCTAATTAGTTAAATTAAATTCTGCTTTTTGTATTATTCTCTCTGCCCAAAAGAAAAAAGAAAAAAAAGAGGGAATTACAGTGAAGAAGCTTGTGGAGCTTGCTTGCTTGCTTGGACAACTTATATATAAATATATATATATATTTATATTTATATACTTTTTTTTTTCTTCTTCTTTCGATAAGAAATATTTATAAACCGGAACAAATAAATAATACATGAATAAATTGAGATTACATTAGCCATTTAAAATAAAAATAAAAAATCGGTTATTTGCAAGTCTCCTTCTTTTTTATTGGTTAGATTTTATACAAAGGTGATGGGGGCTTTTTGGTCAAAGATAAAAAATGCCTTTAGAATTAAAAAATTTGGAAGATTTAGGAGTATTTATTTTATTAATTTAGAGTTATTTAAAAAAGTGTAATTAAGAAGGTGAAGGAAGTAAATACCTGGAGTACATGAAGATGGGCATTGGAATTGCTCGCCAATCATTAATGAATATGGTTTTAAAGTCCCATAATCATGTTGGTTAAAGTTGTACACAAAAGTCACATTGGATGCTTACCCATTTCCCCTAATTTTAAATTAATTCAACACTTCCAATACCAATAACAACAATTATAACCCATAAATATATAAATTATTATTATATTTCTTTTTAATCTTGTTTATTTATAATAATATATCGTATTTTGTATTTTTATTTAGAAGGTTTTACCTCAAAATTAAAATGGTTTTAATCTCCTTTTATTTATCTCAAAAAAATAAAAAATTAGTAATTAAATTATTTAAAGGTCAAAATTTACCTTTTGACATTTAAGAAAATTACTAATTTTGTATATATAAAAAATCATATTAAAAAGTTGGAAATTTACCATATTCTTCCCATGGCTATTATATAACACAAATATTGCCTACACCTTTACATTTTATATATACTTTTTTTATTTCGATACTCTTAATTAGGTTTAATTTAGTTCACCAACTTTAGAAAGTTTATAACGATTTTCTCGAACTTTAGAAAGATGTGACAAAAATTACGTATGCATAATTCATAGATTCAT